TCTCACTGTACCTCTCCTTTTTTCCTCATGATGGGCTATGAACCCCAAGGAATTCCCTATGCCTTCCCTGAATCTTCCATTCCTGCAGCAGAAGATTGAATCAAGCACTTCCAGAAGATCTGAGAAGAAGCTTTATCTTGCCACAACCTCGCAATGCAACACATGGCTGATCGAACATTTGGAAAGAAGTTCATACCCTGGAACCCTAAAGACAAGGTTTGGCTCTCTGCTACGCATCTCATCACACACCTTTCCTCCAAGAAGCTTGCTCCTAAACGATATGGACCCTTTGAAGTAGAAGAAGTCCTCTCCCCCATCACACTCAAGATCTGACTTCCCACTTCCTGGAAATCACATCCTGTCTTCCATGCCTCTGAACTATCCTCCTATCACAAAACAGAAATACACAGACCCAATTACCCTGAACCACCCCCTGACCTTATCAATGGACATGAGGAATACAAGATAGAAGCCATTCTTGCCCACAAGGGAAATGTAAAAGGAAAATGCTACTTCCTCATGTCATGGAAAGGGTACCCTAGTTCTGAAAACTCATGGCTTTCCAAAAAGGAACTTGCCAACACCAAAGAAATCCTGAAAACCTATAAAGACCGCCTCAGACTCGCTAGACTCCTCATCTAACCACAAGCAGCATGCCTTCCTCCAAGAAATCCTATTTCTCTTCCACATCCTCTCTCGAAATCCATTGTTCTGACCTTGCTCTCTGTGAGAGACAAGCACTTGTTGAAGCTGCCCTTTTATCCTGTAACTGTATCCTTCCTTTTGAATCATTTTTCTGTGAAGATCTTGACACTGTAACACTCAGGTTGGCATTGGGCATGTATCTGGTGATAATCATGTTTTATATTCCTCGACACACTTCCGATCTTCCAAAAGTTCCGCGCACTTGTCCGAGTTGTCCGAAGGTTGTCTGAAGACTGTCCGCCCAATTCCGAGGCCTTTCTAGTTTTTCTGATCCTCTGTACCATGTCCTGTCCTTGTCCATTTGACTTCGCTGGTGTGTTTTTCACTTGGTTATCTGTTATTGATTATGTCTAGGGGCACATACGTAGAAAACCCTTGCTAATACATATAGATATGCACCTCATGCATTATTACAAGCATATCTTCGTAGCGACTCGCCTGGAGTCTTATTACATTTCAGATGTCTCATCTTGCTACAGTTTTTGCCTACACAGATTCTGGACTTTCACGTCGTAGGATATATTCTGGCTTGCTAGATACTCAGATTACACTTCATTTCCCTTGCTTTGAGTCATAGTTAGTAGTAGTCACTTCCAGATTTTAGTACTTCACACAATCGATCGTTGTTCATTCGGAATGATTGTGTGGCCTCACTGCTGCCATTTTGCTATTGAAATCCTTAAGTCTTTCGACAAACTTTCACTAGTCATACTACGCAGAGTTCTATACTTCGACAAACACTGTATTCTCTACCGGAAACCTTGCTGTTTCACCGGAAGCTCACCGGAAGCTTCGCGCAACCTCGGACCTTCGTTTCTCGACGTCGGACCTATACCAGACACTTTGGACAACTCATCGGACACTTCAGGCAATTCTTTGGAACTCTGAACATACTTGAGGTATCCTTTCCTTCACTCATTCTAGATCTTAACAAGATATCCCTTGCATTTTATATCAAGAGATAATCCTACAGGCAGTCTCTTTGGGACAAACATCTCACTCACACTTTTGAGTCTTAAGGTAACACCTTGAGTATAGCCCACTAGGAATTAACTCTTTACAACACGCTTGCACAGATCACTACCTTCTACACCACTGACCTCACTATAGCCTACACCAACTCCATGATAATTGACGACAAAGCTAGACTTGTCATCCCCCAGCAGGTGAAGGTCAAGTGCCTTACCCTCTGTCACTTGATGGGCAAAGGGATTGAGACAGCCGTGTCTCTTCCTGATTTCCCCAGACCTGATAATTATTTATGTTCTTCTTGCTATTTTATTTCTCTTTCTCCAGAACCCATGATACAGACCATCCCTACCTCCCCCTCATCCTCTGATGATGATAACCCTATCCCTGCCCCACTGCGATCCCAACTCACCATCTGCTCCTTGGGAATCCCACATTGTAAACGCAAGAAAAGGAGAGAGACTATCTCCTTCAGCGTCATACTCTCATGTTCCATTAACCCTACTCCTCCTCCTGTTGAAGAAGACAAGGAGTATCTCTCCCAATCTGTCTTTGCTCCTTTTAAAGAAACATTCCGTGATCACAATGGCGTCGACTACCCTACCATCACCTGCCAATATTGCAATGAGGAAGGCCATCGCCAGATCAAATGCCCTAAGTACTTCTGCTGTGTCTGTAATAAGCACGAGCCGTGCCACCTCTCCACCAACTGCCCAGACCTTAAAGGTAAGTCCATCATCTCCGCTAAGCTGGGCACTCATACTGTCCACTACCAGCTTAAGCAGTGGAAGAATGAAAGAGATAATGAAGCAGATGAATATGAAGCCTAATTCGCGAAAGACGCTGACGTCAACCCAGAGCTCTACCAGAATATCAGCCTTGGTACAAGATGTTACATTTTGGTCCTACAATAGGGCAGTAGATGAATATGGACACATATTGAAAGAATACTTGTTCCCGAGGTCATTCTACTAGACCCATGACTATTCAGTGAACTATTCAACACACTTCAGGTTCAGGTCATCACCCCTGGTACAAGGCTTTACATTTTGGTCATACAATAGGGCAGTAGATGGATATTGGCACATATTGAAAGTAAACATGTTCTGGAGGTCATTCTACTGGATCTGAGACTATTCAGTGATGTTATCTGAACTATCCAACACACTTCCAGTTTGGGTCATCATAGCACCAGTAGTTGGCCCATCCCTATATCTTGACTTGTCATATTGGCCCTACTATTGATTAATATAGGTTGTATGGTTGTATTGGCCCAGTTGTTTACCTCAGCAGCACATTTGTCTGGGCCTATCCCTATATATTGCTTACTCATATCAGCCCTGCATATCCATATAAGTGGTATCATTGTATGGGCCCATTCATACATCTCAGAAGCACAGGCACCTAGGTCCATCTGTTGATCTCAGCAGCACAGGCATCTGGGCCCATCCCTATATCTTGCCTACTCATATCAGCTCTACCATCAGTATGGGTATACCATTGTATGGATCCAATCATCCATATTAGTAGCACAATACTTATATCACATACTGGGCCCACTTTTAAATTATGGACCACTAGACCATATCTTGGGCCCACCCCTCTCCATTGGTATACCTTTATTTGGGCCCACCTCGGGTGACCTGTCTCATTGGGTGGATTATTAACTTTGGGTGGCCCTATATATCAGAAAAAGTTACTGAAGGGGCTTTGGACGCAATATCCATGCCAAAATAGACATCCTGTCAGCAGGTGGACATGATGGTGGTTCTCACCAGGATATCCACATCCTTAAGACTTCAGTGCCTGATAATCTCCTGAAAGCCTCCTAAAAGCATGCAAAGAAACTCAAGCTCACCTATGTCAAAGTCACCCTGAATCTGAAGGCGCATCCATTACACTCTACAAACAATTGGATATTTTGGGCAGGTAGTACTGTGGTCACACCTGGTCAAATCATGACTCAGGCGTGTTCTTCTAGCACAAGCCCCAAGAGTTTGTGCCTGGCGCGATTGTGCATATTTTCTCCACAGAGGAAGCAAATCAGAACCAGAAGTATTACTTTGCAATAAGGTGTAACCTACCTCTAGCCAGAGGATGCCAGGATCCTTTCAAATCATACAGTGACTTTGGTGCTTCACTGTGGTATTCTGCATACCACCAGGATCTTGACATTTTCCCACTGTGCATTAGTTGCATTGCTACTCTATCTCAATGGAGTGGGGCAATGCTGAGGTTGTGCTGAAACCTTTGAATCAGGTAAAACATTAGGATATAGATCAAGATACTACGACTGACCAAATTCTCGCAGAATTTCGGTGAAGTACTTCTGATATAGGTTGGTGGACAAGTGATGGGTCCCAAGAGAGCTCACACAGGAGTTTGTATAGGTAGAGGAATGGTGTCCAACAGTCCTCCAGATATTTACATGCATGTATGACTATACCCCAGCTCCAAACAGAATCATTTTTTTGAAGAGTAATGACAATGCACAAACCTTAAGGCATATAGATATTGGATTGTTATTCTGATTATTATTCATACTGCAGCATTACATAATTTTTAATATAACTAAGTCAATGTAGTATTGCACAAAGGTATGTCCACAGTGATACAGTAACAGTACATAGTAAATTACACATAAGCACATCATGGAGTACATGATGGAAGAAAGGAAAGATTGATAAGGGACGACTTCAGACTTAAATGGTGAACCAGAATTCCCTAGTCAATGACACACTGATCGGCCTGGCAGCAAGTTCAGCCGGTCTATGTACATAGCAGAACTGGTTGTGCTCAGCAGATTGGGCCACACCCATATGTGACAATTCACAGGCTGTGTCGTGTTTGGAAATATCAGATTCACCATTGAAGCTCTGAAATCATTTGGGGATGTTTTTTTTTCTTTCACCTTCTACAGCAAACTCTTGATAGGTAGCTATGATGCATAGGCTTAGGACCTAATAGGAGACACTTATTTTCATTGATCCAAGATGCGCTTTCGGCCATGTTGCACTCAGTGATCGAGTATAAATTATGTTAAATTCTTCATAGCAAATCACCACATGTGACATTCTGAGAACCATCGCTGGCTGTATTTTGGGAATATCCAGCTGGGTTTTGTTCACTATTTAATGCCTTAAACCACCTGATTTGTTTCTCTTTCCCAGTTCATTGTCACATCTCAGTAAGGGCTTTGGCTCTTGTTGTAATCATAGATTACCATTGGTTCATTTCTATTGTACATATTATACTTACAATTTATGAATATCATGAATGAGACCTCATGAACACCAGAAGTGCATATTAATGCTGTACAGCCAAAGATGTCTCATATGTACCCACACTCACCCACCTGGGACTTACAGAATTTGCAGCTCACTCCTGTATCTACAGATACTCCTTTCAAACAAGGCAGTTTCACCAAGGTCCCCTGTACTACCAATGCACGTTACCAGAACTTCACAGTCAATGCCATGGGCAAGGAAATGAAAAATCATTGCATTGGCCTGATGCCAGTCTGGGAATTTCTCAAGGAGTTCCTGCCGACTTCAGAAATACCAGGCCTTCTCCCTATAAACTTCAAGAGTAGCACATTTGATAACACAGTTCATGTTAAAGATGAGGTGCAGCCTTATGAACCATTTGTGAGCACCCTTAAAAGTATATCATATTGAGATATGCTGACAGTCAGTTCAATGTTGTAGATTGACACCATGAAATATTTTGCCTCCACTCTATTGTTCATTGAGACTTTCAACCATCCAGACATGAAACTTGCTAGGTCATTTTCATTCACCATCAAACTGGATATCAGCATATATGCTGATGGAATATCGCATGGCTGTGATGTTTCTACTGCAGCACTCATCATCAAATTGAAGTAGGCTGCCATCCACGATGCCTTTCGTGACCCTCCTCTTGACTTGATGGAGAATCCATCTTTCTTTGTCAACCCAACTATGAAGGGTCTAGTTACAAGTTATGCTGCAGCCCAGCTTGGTGCTCAATACTGCACCCACACTTGTTCTGTCCTAATCATGCACAATTTTGCTCGCATCATCAGATGGGACAGGGAAGGAGCCATTGTTACTTGCGCTTTCAATTATAACAAGTCTTCTCACTTAGTCAACTTTTCCATCACTTTTCACAAGCATCACCTGCATTGCATGGTGTTGATACATCAGTGGTGGCTGCTAGCACCGAAGAGGTTATTTGCACATGGTCCAAGTTAAACCTTCATGCCAGTACATGCATGTTCAGGGTTATTGTTTCTGCTGCCGAGGATATTGGTTCAACCAAGTTGGTCATTCCTGCACCTGTTTCCCGCAGTGTTTCACCTATTGGCCAAGGGACACATGCATGTCCTACATTTGACACTGTCAACAACAAGGTCGTCATGTTTAAGGACTCTTAGTGCATGTCATTTCCCAATATCTTGCCAGAGGGTGAAACTTACAAAGTCTTGAAGAACGCCAATGTTCGCAATATCGCAACATGCATCACATGTCATGATGTACCATCTCTCCCTCAGCAGCGCACACAGACTTTCAAGTTTGTGAACACTTCATGGGTGTGTACTCATCAAGCACTCACTCCACATATACATTACCATTTGGTTTTCAATCTTGTGGGCAAGCTGTTGCTACACTTCAAGAGCTCTCATCAAGTTGTCTATGCTGTTCATGATGCACTGATTAGTATGTGTTTTGGAACCTACACTATATACCATACATCATATTTATATATCTCCACAGCTCATGAGGATTCATGTAACAAGGTGGGTGTGTTACACCAAGACCTCGGTCCAGGAAATATTGTCATGCATAGTGCCATTGGCATCCTCAGATTGGGATCTTGCAAATTTACTCAAATTTCAAGGTCCTCGACAACTCACATGCATGGTACATTTACTCCTTCATGATTCATATCTTGTGCTCGGTTTTTTATCACCAAGGGAACCTGGCAATTTATGTCTGCCAACATTGTTGAAAAAAAATATGCCACACATACCATCAAGGATGACCTTGAGTCCAGTTTTTATGTTGTTTTTTGGGTCACCTTAATGTACACAGAGAGCTATATGAACATCTCTACTCAGTTGCTACTTGTGAAGCAGGTCTTCAAGGTTGAGGAGATAAATGGGGTTGCTTTTCTCATCTCGAGAAGGCAAATCGTGTCTGATGTGTTTGTTGGGCACCAAGCACTCGACAAGCTTATTGTTACACTTGCCAAACTCTTCACTTTTCAGTACACTGATTGACAATGAGTAGCAGGCTGCATTCAACAAAACATTCCCCTGTCTGGAGACCGCAATGGGGACTCTCACTTATGATTTTATTCTCATGAACTTGAATGCAAATCCTGCTTACAAGAAGCATCAAGCCATGGAGAGTTTGAGGTCACATTTGAAATAATAGCCATCTATAATGAATATCTTACATTAGACACTTGGCTTCCCTACGAGATTCCCAAATGTCAACTTATAATTCTTGATGAAGAGAGGTGCAAGCCAGACAAATTCCTCATGAAGTCATGATGCTCCACCAATGTCTCAGTCACTTTTGGAAAGAGATGGAGGCCAAACTTGGACTTAGGCTCACACCACTCTTTTGGCTGAAGCTGGTGATTGTATGTTCCATTTGGTGAACTGTGTTCCATCGCTTGGGTCTGATTATGCATATCATGTTTTTTTTGGATACCTATGACTAGGTCACAATGCGATAGATGATCAATCGCGATGCTAGACTTACATTACAATATGCACAATCAATTGTATTGTTCGCCAAAATTGTGGCCAAAAGTATCATCTATGTAAGTCACTTACCTGGTCTGACAATCAATATTTGGCATCACCTTTCTTTTTGTCTATCTGACTGGATAGAGTCCCACTCACTGGACGCACTGTTTTTGTATTGTATCTCTAAGTCTAATTAGGACTACTTACAGATATTACTTCATCTGATTCTATAGTACTCATAGCAACCTGTAGACCATGGCAACATATTATATCAATAATTTTGAATTTGCTCTATATATATGTATCTGATAAGATAGGTTTTCCCCTATATGATACCTCCACCAATATCTTCACCTGGCCATAATTTTGAGGCTTCTGGGGAATCATCACCAGATCATCGGCCTGGAGAACTTGCATTAGCACTTACAAAGATAACCTTCATTGTACAACAGTGCATATTCAATTTTATAATATGCCTTCAATTCACATCTATCTTTGTAGGTTTACAACATGCAGTTCATCATTGGCTCAAACTCCACTATTACCAAAACACCAAGTTCACCTTAGAAAATAAATTGAGAGTATACCATCATACATGCTCTATAACTCATTCCATCCATGTCCTGTAAATTGTGGCACCATCTGTCCTTCCTGCCCCTCATTGTGCTGTATCTACTCTGATAGTAGTCTTGTCATCAGAATTTCAGTCCCAGCCCTGTCTTTACATCTAACCCTACAGTCCCCCAACCTGTCATTGCCTGGCCAACTCAGGTATCTCCCTATCCCTGTGTCAGTTGCTGCTGTGTCTCTTCGATCTCACCCTGTGACATCTACTCTAATTGAACCACTACTCAATTCTTGTGTTGCTTTGTCGAGACTAGATTGTAGGAACCATCAAATAGACACTCGGCCTGATACCCTACCATTCCGTAGAGGAAGTAGTCATTCAAGAAGTCCTGACATGTTTCGTTGTACAAGCACTCCATATGTAGGTGGGTATCAAAACCCATGTCCTATGATATCCACTACTAATATACTGCTACAGGTACTAGGCATCAGCCTATGATTTTCTCTATGTCTCCTTTGCCTGATCATGGTACAGAAAATGATATCTCAATGGACAACAAGGAGTATCCAGTTCACATTTTCAGCCCTCTAATTGAACCTCAAATTTCATCTTCTTCAACTCAGATGACAGATACGAGCATGAGTCCCATCATTGGCCCTAAGTCTGCAGACTTCTTACATCAAACTCCCTTACCAGCGAAATCTTTCCTGCTGCCTTCTTTCATTCAGGATCATTTCAACTAGCTTGTTGCACAGCACTTTCTTGAACTATTTGACCATGTCTTAGTTCTAGCTCAGAAAAATGCTGTTGAAACCTTGATTCCTTCTGTAGTCAAACAGATATCAGATGATATGAGGAACACTACCATCAGTCTCTATTCACATAGTCATAAGGATAAGGATAACCTATCAGACACACAATCAAGTGACAGCAACGATGATTTGAAACCAAGCCCTCATAGGAAGCACTCTGACAAGTGAGGTCTAAAGAATGATTTACATGTATGTCTGTATCAAATTGTTTGCCTCAACCTATGTTAATCACATCAGGTTGCATTCTGGAACTATCTATGAGAGAAAGAACTTCTCAAGGGTAGAAAATGTTCACTGCCTTAACCTCCTCCACTAGAAACTCTGTGTGCCTTGGGTGACAACAATGACTGCAGCCCTGCCCTAGGCAATATCTTTATTGATTAGAATGACTCACTCAATAAATCTCCCTGGAACACGGAAGTCATTAACCTCCTAGTTATCGATTTTCAAGCAAAGGTCAGCAATGATACTTTTGTGAACCTCCTAGTCATTGATTTTCAAAGTGAAGGTCAGCAATGGTACCTTTGAAGAAGTCATTTTTGATGCAGAAACCATGGGCCTCGACAATTTGCACACTCTGTGTATCGAAAAACTACGGTGAATGCAATTCCAGTATTAACAGGATGTTCAGAATGGTAAATTGGCTAATATTGAGGACATGAATTGCATCTATCATGAATTTTCAGCTCAAAATGACCAACAACAGCGCTTGGATAGGTGCAATACTCGAAAGCATGGGGTACATAAACAGTTGTCAATCTGAGTACCATCTAAATACCATCTTAGACCCTGGAACGACATCAAAAAATAGTGGAATAAAATTGACACCATGACACTGATACCTGGAATACCACTAAACTTATCATTGACTAGTTAGATGTTGAGGGGATGAGTGGGAATGAAACAGACACCACACCAGGGGTGATTCCAAAGGTGATCAGGCAAATTGGCCTTTTATGGCTCAGCCCTGACATTACACAGTTGCTCCATGCTGTGGAATCCTATGTGTCAGCCACTCATGAAGAGAATATGACTGTCCCTATCAGAAATTCATCCCTTCCATAGATTTTAGAGCAGAAGCAATACAACTGGTACAATGATGACTGGTACAAAGCTGACTCAAGTAGTGCTCGTGCACTACTGGGAGCTCGCAAGTTGTTGACCTTACCACTTTTGAAGCCCTATTGTTCTCAGACACATTGATGAGTATCATGTAGATTATATATCATTTAGATCACTCTCTGCTATTATTGACTGGTACAAAGCTAGCTCACTGAGGTAGTGCTCATGCACTACTGGGAGCTCGCAAGTAGTTGACCTTACCACTTTTGAATCACCTATTGTTCTCAGACACGTTGATAAATATCGTTTGGATTACATATCTTTTAGATCACTGTGCTATTATTCAACTGCCAATGCTACCATCTATATTGACCCAAGCATTTTTATATTGTGTCAAGTCTCTTAGAAGAATCCCCAACATCGCCTGATGCTCATCAATGCTGATATCAATAACTCTATAACAGCCGAGCAATGCTCTGTAAGTAACACATTCATCTTTGAGTGCACTTAATTGACTGCCTGTATAGGCTCTGGATTATCAAATCCACTGTTCCTACAAGACACTAGAATCACCATGTCTCCTGATCCTATCTTAGTCACAGGGCATGTCCTTGCAATGCCAAAGATCCACTACTGAAATCCTACCTCCAGTAGACCAGTGGTAAGTCCAGGGTGCCAGAATGCATGGATCACAATGATTTGATCTTCCACTTATAGCAACCAAAAATGGTTCATGGAACATCATCGACCAAACTTTTCATGAGTCGAGGAGTCTAGGGCTTCTTAATTACTCAAGAGTCAGCGATCAGACAGTCAATTTGTCTTAGAAATGAGTAAATGGGCTGTCAAATTTTGATTCTAGCTGCTGATCGCTTTTGGAAGATGTATGATACAGATGGAAATTTGGATGAGGCTAGCAACTTCAAATGTTGTGTAATGCACAGCCTGAGTGCTGTGTTCAGGTATGCATCTAAATTATAGTTCCTCCTCAAACTGCATTCGCTGAATGATCCCAAGTCAGGTGTTTGGGGAAGTCTCTTGGAATGCAGTTGGGTACTTCAATAGCACTATAGAGAGCAGTCCACCTGTCAAATTTGATAGAACAAACAACCTGTAACGAGAGAAAGCCAGTGCATCTCAACGACCCTACACGTCGCATATGTTAGCCTATGTATTACGCTCAGAACTGATATTACTATTTGTACTTATATATTTGTGGAGGCACAAATTAAACGGATACATAGTCAACACAAAACAACATCATATACAAGTTCATACAGTCCGGTTATCCTAGTTCCATCCTGTCATCTCACATACAAAATGATTAAAGGCACAGGATTCATACATTGTGTACATTCTGAATTTACTTGTTATTATTACCTCTGCTCAATGTACTCTTGGATACTCAAGCCATTACAAAAAGAATGAGGAATCAAGATGGAGATTCACTCAGATCTAAGCTTAGATGAAATATACCTGGTATGTGCCTCTCAAATAGTGTTATTTGCAACTTGCTAAGGAATACTGCAGTTGATGCAGGGAATACTTCAAGAAACAGACTATATAGATGAGGTGGACCTGGTATGTGCATCTTAATTCATTTCCACTGCAACTCACTGAACACTGAAGTTGATGCAGGGAACACTTCGGAAACTAGAACACATCGACATCGACATCAGCTTAGATCACACAGATGCAGTATATATATATCTCAATTTATGTTATTTGCAATTCATCAAGCCCAGGGAACATATACTATGGATGTTGATGCAAATGTTGATGTGGATACTGACATGGATGAATTTTATCTGGTCTGTATATGCACTTCATATTTTTTTTCTGTTTGACTTTCATTTTATGCAGGAAAATGTGGAAAATGGAGAGGTGATGCAGGTCAATGCTCACTCTGATCAGATGGATATTGACTGAGAAAGATGCTAGTGGATACTTGTAATGATAGCTTTGTGTTATAGTCTGTTTGCATTCATCCTATTGCTAATTGTGTCACTATACATTCTACTCCGCTCATACCAGATTTTTGCAATAATCTCTAACACCCTAATGCTATTTCTGGACCCTAGACCTGTGTGATGAAAATTTCGCCCATGCTTACTCTATGTTAACTTTTAGCCTCTTTGATACAATGCAGAGGTAGTATTAATTGCCGCACAAACTTGTATACAGTCACTAGTTGCATAATATAGTGATATACACAAAATCAAATCTGGTCTATCAATATGAAAGCAGCTGTTAATCGATCAGAGAGGGCCGCTCAGAGGGCTGCTCAGGGGGCCATTCATACATATCTTTGAAAATATTTACAATTTGCTAACAAATCTGTTACATTAGTGAATGATGATAATTCTATAAATCTGTCTTCAGGCATATTACTGATGCAGACCCTAGGTCTGGAGTGTGATTTGATCCTATTTTTTCTTCAGAAATATCATTGTAAATATTTGTAAATAATTGCAGGATTGGATATATTTCCTGATTTGTAATCAGATTTTGGATATTATGTCCACCTGTAACAGGTGCACATTATGAACCACATTCTCCCTATCTGTGGCCTATGCACTATAAATTTGACTGATAAAATTTAATTCTTACATATATTTATACTTACATTTTGACACTGTTCATTATCTGCACAATGGCTAAATGATTCAATATATGCTAAGTTTTTCTCCTGATATGCACCGCATCTGCTGACCCAACTTTTCCTATTGTGTCTCAGGTGTGTGTAGCAGGGCATTATCTGACCTTTTACCACTGCAGCATAAGCTTTTGATGAAGTTGCTTCCAAAGGTTATAGGAAGTATAAGTGAATTGATACTCCAATATATGTATTATAATAACAGTAGCGCTATGAGACAGAGACCAACATTAAGTAGTACCTTTCTCTGGATCTTTTAGAGCAGCTCTCTTTTGACAAATATTAGAGAGAGCACTATTGACTTTGAGAAGGTATTAGGCAGCAGATGATATTGGAAATATCTGACTAAATCATTGTAAGAGTTTCAACATTTCAGAAAACAGGTTGACTTACTGATTCCACCACAGTAGCAACTCTATAACCTCCCTGCACTCACCTGTATCCTTTAAGAGGTCAAGAAGAGAGTGATAGAAAGTTTCTAAATCTGTGACTGTGTTAGTGCACAATAATACTAAAGATGAACAGAGGGCAAACTAAATCTGTGGCAATTATTAGTTACAAATATCCAGTAATGTGAAGTTCTGTAGAAACCTGGGTGGCCACATATGCTACCAAAGCAGCTATAACAATAGTCATACCATGAAGTCGAGTATTTCCTGTATATATTGCCTTGGGATCTTTAGACTTACACTCTCTTGCAGGGACCCATCTAAAGAGCAGAGGAATCTGTTACGCACTCAAATAGATCTGTTAGGCAGAGCCCTAAGAGGGGCGTCGTCTGCTAATGTTCGTGACATAACCGGAAGGGTCCGGTGTAGCGACTGAGACTGGCGACGTCGAGTCGGCAGATATCAGAGACGCGCGTGTCACGTGACTTCTAAGACAGATGTCTTCAAAGTCACTGATGTTCTCAAAGTAAGGACTGTCTTGTCCAAACAATGAGTAGTCGATCGAGGTGGACTTAGGCGTGATGAGCACCTAAGAAAAGATACTAGAGACTGAAGCTGAGGGGGCTTCAGAGGGAAGTATGTTCGAGGGAAGATTGAATAGATTCAAGTTAGGGAATCTAGTACAAGGTGACCGACTACTTATACTAAGTAGAAAGGGTTAAGAGCAAGGCTACCATACTGTAGGTAAGGGTAAAGGGGAAACGGAAAGGGTATAGGTATGATGGCAGTATAGCCTGATTAGTGATGAGAGGTCGAATGCGGAATGAGACCGAGAAACGTTGGAACGAGCGAACGGTAAGAGATACAATGTGCAGCATGCACGAGTCAGATAAGAGATAAAGGAAGATAAGGAAAGCCACATTGGTGGCATGAGTCAGAATGAGTCATAGCCCGAAGGCATGTGTGCACGTTGGTGCGATAGGGGGAGATGAGGGACGGGGACGGTCCCGAGGATCCGGTCAATGGATAGTCAATGGAAGAGTATGAGTCGGAGGAAGGCGAGGACGAGGATGAAGGGGAAAATGATAAGGGGGCAAGTAGCCGATGTTACTTGTAACAGAAATCCCTCTTGTGAGATTTGTTTGAAGATGAAAGGTTATTGTCTATCTCAGCGTATGTGCAAAGGTCTATCATTATGTCTCTTATTTATATCTAACTAGCTGATGCATAGGTGTCAGAGGGCTAATGGATGACAATAAATGCCAAGTGTCATTTCATAGGTGTGTCAGCACTTCAACAGTTGTGCTATAAGACCACATAATATAGTGTCATATCTCCTTACTTTATAGTCAGCCCACCTTGACATTTTGTTCATGTGACATGGGCGCACTTCATAAGTGTATGTTGGTGTAACTAGATGGGCCTGGAGGTTCTATGTAGCATATAATTATAGGCAGGCCTACTGCCTATATTCTTTGAAACATTGAGTGGGCTGATGGGACTCTGAATGAAGGATAGTGTGTTTATAGGGCTTACAGTAATGAGGAAAAGAGATGATTCAACAATTCTGAGTGAGCTCATGAGTTTCTGAGATGACTGGAATACTGGTATTGGTGAATTGCCAGTGGCTAAAAATGAGGCATTCCGGTGAATGTAACAGTAAACCAGTAAATGGAATACCACCATCAGTGATTGCAAAATAGTTGACCACTGATGATTGCAGCAGTGATTAGACACCAGTGGATCACAGAATCAACCACTGCTGAACTATCAGATGTCCAAAAGTAATCAATTACTGGCAGATAAAAATATAGATTGTAGCCAGTGAGTATAGACACACTATCAGTGCTATCATATGGCCCTGGTAACCACAGATTCTATTCAATTGTTTAGTGCACTGGCAATGTCATCCAGCAGATCCTACCAATATTTTATTAATTCAGCTAGGTGGGCTCATATGAGAGGTAGAACAAAGCAATGGGCTCATCAATAGTAAGAGAAATAGCAGGGTGGGCCCAAGCAGATACTTCATTATCTGTGGCTGAGTCAAGGGTATAGTGACAAGGGGCCTAAGGGAGTCCATATTATGTTGAATTAATTGAGTAGACTCGCACTCTATACATGTGACAGATGAGTGGGCCTGGTGTACCATATTCATGAACACTGCTGGGCGTAGCTCTATATCTTGGAGCTAATGGACTGGCCACATAATCATACCAAAGTCCCAAGGAACAATATGCAGTATGCTGGATGAACAGCCAGGCCCGCAGATCTCTGCACGACATACAGTTGGGCCTACACCCTCTGGAGCAGCATCTGAGTAGGTCCAATATCACCAGATTAATGAAATGGGCCCACCCCGTGAAAATAGGATAGGTATATGGGCCCATGGAGCTGCCGCTGGTAGTAGAATATAGCCTAAGAGACACATCATCAATCAAGGGTAGGATCACATCAAATCTCATGAGAAGAGGAGGCTTAATCCAAGCTAATGAAATTGACAGGCTGGCCAGTCAGAGACTAGTTCAGAAGTTTGCTGATGTATGTACAGTCCAGAATCTGGGAACAAGTGCAATCAAGGAAAGTGAAGCTGACAGTAACTGTGAACCCAATGAAGGCACAATGAGAAATCAGTCAGAGCAAGGGGTTTCTAGGTAAAGAGTAGTGGATACTAGATAAAGTATGGTTCCACAGGTAGCAGCTAGGTATAGATGAGGTTTATATTTGAGGTATACCTAGGAGTGAAATGCTAGGTCAGAACCTGAGAATGATTTGAATTCACACAGAACCTAGGGAAGGAATTTAGAGGTGCATATTTGAAGTGGTCAAGAACACGTGGGTTTGGAGTGAGAGAGAATCAAAGTTTGTCAATTGATCAAAGATACTAGAAACATCTAAGTGACTTTACAAAACAAAGGTAGTGTCTGAGGGAAAGGAAGTGCTGTACTGTATGTAGCACATAAGATAATATTCTAACACATGAACATTTGGAACCTATAGGCAAGAACTGTAGTGATGAAGAATGAGGCAGATAAGTAATATGTAATATAAATGTGCATGGAGTGGAATATGCAGATAAATGTAATAAGCCATACTATTTATTAGTCAACCTAAAAGAGAAAATAAACATGCACCAGCGGAACTTGGTGGACATAGAAAGGACATGGACAGATGATATAAAGAAGTGGACCTGTGAACAGTAGGTCTTCAGATGAGGCACAGCCAAGGAGGACTTTGTGGCTAGATGAATTAGGAATGATATGAAACTTGCAATTTCCTATAGGTCTAAACAAGTGTCTTTTGATACTAGTGTCAAGACTTATAGAAAGTTACAAGTTCTATATTATTCTCATCTTCATCTAGCAACAAGTTCTCCTTGGTCGACTCTCATCTAACGATCACCTAGGATGGTCAACTCCCTCAGACCTCTGACTACAATTCTTTCTCATACCAATATGTTACAATCCTTGAAGGCTTCATTCTAAAGCATGAAGGTAGTGACTACACAGATAATGTTTTGTTACCAGACAGGATGGATCTACTGAATCTGCCCCCTGGCCTTGGTCACTTCAAGTAGTTAAAACAGTTATATGTACCTACCCTTCAGCAGCTTAGAGAGTGGTGGATGATCTTGGTAGACTGCAAACCATTGTATGTTATTCACACAGCTCTTAGAAATAGAGAGCAGTGGGTCTTCTTACATTGGAATGCTAGTCTGTCACTGGTAAAAATGAGGTGAATGCTTTAATCAACCATCCATCATCATCTAACAAATCTTAACTTGGAGATTGGCACAGTCTGCTTATAAGGGAACCTTATGTCTTTGATGATATCATATATCTAGTAGGGGGCATACTTACTGAACAATGCCTAGCTGATCTAGAACTGGAGTTCTTTATGATAGCCATATTAAGTAAACTTGTATACATTGAGGAAGAGTTTCTGGGTGCATCCAGCTCCTTGAGGCTAATAGTCAGAGTGGATGTCAGTATCATGCATGGTCCCAATGGTCAATTAGGGTATTTCATCAATGAGGTGAAATATAGTATGGGTATTAGGCTATTTAGTACTGAAAATCCAAGATGGACCTTACAGCTGGCCAATAAATTTTTATGCATGTTCTCTAGATGGTGGCTGACCCCTACATAACTATAGGATGCCTAGTAAAGCCAGAGATATAGTTCTAATAATCACATGTCATACATATGCAAACTTTATTATTTGATTTAACCACTATATGCACAATTAAATATGATTACACCTCTATAGATCTTCAAACAAGTAGACTGATGTTTGGTAGTAGATACTGTGATTGTACAGGTATAATATGGCTGTTGCACATAGGGATAGTCACTCTGGAGTGCTGAATACTGTTGTTAAATTGTGTATAAATAACTGATGTGCAGTCAACTTAGATAAATTACTAAAAGATCTTGGTGACACAGAATCAGAATATTTTCTAATATAAAAATGTTCTGCTATACCTTTCATTTCTCTTCCATCAACTTCACCAGCTAGTTTTGCCTGTGGCACTGACACGAAAACAGACTTGGGTAACACCACTATACACAGTCCAAGTCAAATTTGAAAACCTCCTAGAGAGCTTATCAAAATGGAAAAGTATAGAGACTTGTGTAAAAGTTGAGGGAAACAGAAGGGCAACAGAATTGGGGCAGTTGAAGATTGGATAATAATTAATAATGGTTAATTAACTGTGTTATCATATAATAGGGCTGTGTATTGTTTTAGCTGTTGTTGCATGATATTGCACCTAATGCTTATAATATTGTGAAATCATACTCATACTATGTTGGGAACATTTTTCGAGGCATCAGATGATGGAATGAGCTTGAGTACCAGTGGGACATGTAAATTTTGTGTTCACAAAATATTAATTAATAGGAGTCATCACAGTTCCCAGGGCCAAACCCAGTAGAAACAGATACCTACCATAAATCATACCACACCTAGGACTCCAATGCAAACTCAGCTAAACATAGCACCCAGTCATCCAGATTCTCATGTTTTCTCTGGTTTGATGTGGGTTTCACATAATGCCTCACTGGACAGGCTGGACTTCAATGCACTAGAATGTTGGACTAATTCCGGGGCTGAAGACCTAGTTGTATCATTTCACAGCATTCAGTATCCTGACTGGTATGCCCAGAAGAAACATTGGCATTCATGAGTATCACACAAATAAGATGGATTGTGGTGGCATCAAATGATGCCTGATAGCATATTTTTACCCCTGGATAATGAAGCCAGAGCCAAAGAAGACCTTTTGGATATGGT